ATCAACCCAAACCCCCAGATCTCTTTCCATGGGGCTGCTCTCCAGCCTCTCATCCTCCAATTTGTACATATAACCAGGATTACGCCATCCCAGGTGGATATTCCTGCACTTGCTCTTGTTAAATTTCATACGGTTGGTGATTGCCCAGCTCTCTAGTCTATTCAGATTTCTCTGTAAGGCCTCTCTACCCTTGAGGGAGTCCACAGCTCCTCCTAGTTTAGTATCATCAGCAAACGTACTTAATGTACATTTGATTCCTGCATCCAGATCATTTATAAAAGCATTAAAGAGCACTGGCCCTAAAATCAAGCCCTGGGGAACCCCACTGGTGACTGGCCACCAACCTGATGTAACCGCATTTACTAAAACTCTTTGAGCCTGACCCGTCAGCCAATTGCTCACCCAAGGTATTATGGACTTGTCTAGCTGTGTGCTGGACATTTTATCCAGAAGGATACTGTGAGAGACTATCAAAAGCTTTGCTAAAATTAAAAAAAAAAACCCATCCACTGGCTTCCCTTGGTCAATTAGATGGGTGACCTTGTCATAAAAGGAAATTAAGTTGGTTAAGCAGGACTTTCCCCTCGTGAACCCATGCTGGCTATGACCAATGACTGCATTGTCTCTCAAGTGTTTTTCAGTAACTCACAGAATAACATTCTCCATAATTTTAGCAGGCACTGAAGTGAGACTGACAGGACTGTAATTACCAGGGTCTTCCTTCTTACCCTTCTTGAAAATTAGGACAAAATTTGCCAGCTTCCAGTTGACTGGGACCTCTCCAGACTCCCAAGACCATTGACAAATAATGGAGAGAGGTCCCGTGATAACATCGGCCAGTTCTTTCAGTACCCTGGGATGAATCCCGTCGGGCCCCATAGACTTAGGTACATCCAGGTGGAGCAGCAAGTCTTGAACAAGTTCAGGGTCAGCTGGGAGTTTATCATTCCCCCAGTCACAGTCTTCCAACACAGGGCTCTGGGGGTCCCAGGGCCCATCATCAGCGTTGAAGACAGAGGCAAAGAAGACATTAAACTTCTCTGCTTTGCCTACATCTCTATTTGTGAGGTGACTGACCTCATCAAGTAATGGACCAATGTTATCTCTGATCCTCCTTTTGCTGTTAACATATTTTAAAAAGCCCTTTTTGTCGTCCTTCACAGTGCTGGCCAGCTTGAACTCTAATTGAGCTTTGGCCACACAAATTTTCTCCCTACAGTGGTGAACAGCATCTCTGTCGTCCTCCTGTGTTGCCTGTCCTTGCTTCCAATGTCCGTACACTTTCCTTTTCTGCCTAAGTTCTAGAAGAAGATCCCTGCTCAGCCAAGCCAGCCTTCTGCCCTCCTTGCTTGACTTCTGGCACTTTGGAATTGCCTGCTCCTGCGCTCTTAAGAGATGGCTCTTAAAACATGACCAGCATTCATGGAACCCAATACCTTCAAAAGCAGATTCCCAGGGGACCTTACTAACTAGCTTCTTCAGCAGCCTGAAGTCTGCTCTTCGCCATATAAGAAGATGCTACACAATTCTTATTAATGACACTTACGAAGATAAGCAGCACACTGAATAAGGTAGCGAAGGAAAAAAAAAGGGGGGGGGGAAGTCTTTTCTGGTCACTTCATTTTCTTATCTATCTAGGCTGAGAGTCTAGCAGCTCAGAACCAAGTCTCACCCCAAAGTAAAGAACATAAATAAAGCAATTTTCTTTTACCTATTTTGTCAGAGGTAAGTTTGAGCAGAGTGTACCGGGTGCCTGAGAGCTACATTCCCAAGAATATCTAGGTCAAAGCAATTAGTCTGAGCAGGAGCAAAGCTAGCGATCTTTCTTGCTTTGCTTAGTAGTGTTGTCCAAGATCTTAGTCCAGGTGCATGAGGTGTTGGCATCTGACAGTCATGAAGTTCACCCTGTAGAAGCCTCTGCTGCTGCAGTATGGTATGAGAAATGATCTCTTGAGTAGTGAGCAATAAGCCTTACTGGATACTTCTCAGAAGTGAGACCAAGGAGCCTGACAAAAAGCAAAATGAAGTGCTACAGTGGAGGCTGGCAAGAGGAATATGGTTATAGTCTAGCCTGAATCTTGATTAAGAAACATTCAAGAATTTTCAGTAGTAAAATGATGGCATTGCAGACTATTTTTTTTCTTATGTCTGAATTAGTTTGCTTAGGAGAAGGAAACAGCCTTGAAATTGGACATTAATTTGCATTATGGTTGCTAACAAAGGACTCACCATGGCATGGTTTAATGTTCAAAGCAAACTGCAAAGTAGATTGGTATCTGTAATAAGGCACTGACAATCCCTATGAATAGGGGCCTTGCCTTTTTTGCATCAAGAGAACGGGCAGGGGAGACAAATTCATGACGCAAAATATTTTCAAGTGCAGCTAAATATGAATTGCCAATAATCCAGGCCTTAAACAGTGTGACCTGAAGAAACCTTGAACTATTCAGTGTGATTTACCCATTAGGATGCAGCCTGAGAACAAAAGTATTGCAAAATGCTCATCTGTGATGTCTTCCTGTTTGTCAAGAGCTAGTAAATATAAAAGCTACAACTGGGGGTAGGGAAAAGGGGAAAAAGAAGGGGTGATTCTCACAGCAACAGCAATTGCTTCACATGGGACACCACCACAACAACAGTATTGGGGTTTGCAGGAGCAAGACCATGAGATTAATGACACAAGAACAGGAGCTTGAGGACGACAAAGGAAAAATACTGCTGCAGGGGCTCTGGGGTACACTGTCCCAGCAGCTTGTGTGAAAGGGTAGGGAGCTGTGAGTGGAAGGCAGGCTACAGGATTGCAGACGGAAGGCCTTCCAGACCAGCGAGGGTGTTGCCAAAGCTAGCAGTTTTCTAGTGCCTCGTCTCTTCCTGCCCTAGCCTGGATACTGGTGGAATAACGAGCTGGTGTTAAGAAGCTGTAACTCGGGGGCTAAGAGCATGTCAAAGGAGCCATCCCTGTATTGTGTGTATCCTCTGCTTTACAGGAGCTCTAGCTCAGCTGAAGTGCTCCCAGTGACAAGGGGAAGTACCCTGGCTTTCAGGATGCTTATTATTACTTGAGATGCTCATGCCAGCTCAACCAGAGCTGAGGATGAAACCTCCATCAAAACAAAGAGAAAGCATCTCTCCTGTCCTGCTAGGTACCTAGTGCAGCTTTATGCTATTAAACATGCCCTGCAAGAAAAACAAGAGTGGCTTTATTCTGTTTCTCAGCAGCTCACGAAGAGTTTGAAGTGAAGTAGGATGCTGGAAACACCTTCACATCCCTGCCCTCCACTTGTACTGTGTCCAGAGGAGCACAAGACCTCAGCTCCCAGAGCACAACCAAAGCTTCAGTCACAGACTGCGACTTTCCTCAGCCCTTAACCAGATGGAGGTATTCTAACTGGGAATGAAAAGGGATGACTTTTATTTGCTCACCTTTGGAAAACATTTTAAGAGCTACTGTAGTGAATTCCTACCATTATCTGCATATCAATTATTCATTATTTTCATTAAGGAAAACCCAAGACATGCTATACTAATGTAGATGAAAGAAATCTGTAATGTTCTCTCTCTCTCTCCCCCTCTTCCCCACCCTCTGCCCCTCATACATTTTCATTCTGAGATTATTCTTAATCCATATATACTTGAATTAGGAAAATGTATGTTTTTTATTAGCAATAAAACTTTGGGGTTTTTTTTCCCCTACTGATTTTTCATAGATTTATGGATCTATAATCATTCACGTCACAAACTGAGGGACATGAGGCTGGAACAGGATAATAGCCCTTAAATCCTCTTCTCTAAGCACTCAGATCTTCCCTGTCAGCAAGATTAAAACTGTCAACAGCAGTCTTCCTGTGTCTATATCCCACACGGAGCTTTCACAACAACTGGAGTGGTGGCTGGCAGGGAGAAAAATGCAGAACTGCTGCTGTGTGTGATACTACCGAGATATAGAGAAGAAAACAGGATTGTCAGCCTTTGTAGTGCTGGAAAGGACCGGTGTTAATTCCTTGATCAGCTGAATGCAAAGAAGGGAGAAGAGTAAGGAAAAATAGTATGTTGCAGTTTAACATGAGGCAACAGTTTCCTTTCCTGAAACATAAAGGCAGGGAAAGGGAAGCACCAAATCTCCTCCTGCAGCCCAACAAGGGGAAGGATAACAAAGGCATGCATGTAGACAAGCAGAGTGGCTTTTCTACTACTGCTCCACTGAACTCTCAGCCCTTACTGCTCCTGGGACCTGAGGGGAATTACAACTATTATGTGGACGATGAAGATGAGGAAGAGGAAGAGAAAGAACAAGGAAAATGGCCAAGTGGAGACATATTTGAGAGAGAAAACAAGCCCTGGTCATCAATTCCTTGTTCCCCTGCCCTTTCCTGTGGAGCCCCAGCTACGCCTTCGACTTCATCTGTGCTGAACATCAACGTCGGCGGCCAAAGCTACCGCCTCACCTACCAGGCAGTGGCCATCTATCCCAAGACCCGCCTGGGCCGCCTGGCTACCTCCACTGACCGTCGCTGCCAGCTGGGCCTATGCGATGACTACGCTGCCCAGGTAGATGAGTATTTCTTTGACCGGGACCCAGCTGTCTTCCAGCTGGTGTACAACTTCTATGCCTCGGGGGTGCTGCGTGTGCGGGACGAGCTGTGCCCCTGTAGCTTCCTGGAGGAGCTGAGCTACTGGGGTGTGCGGCTCAAATACACACCTCGCTGTTGCCGCATCTGCTTCGAGGAGCGCCGTGATGAGCTGAGCGAGCAACTGAAGGTCCAGCGCGAGCTGCGCTCCCAGGCAGAGTCTCAGGAGAATGAGCAGCTCTTCCACCACATGCGCTACTATGGTCCCCAGCGCTGGCGCCTCTGGAACCTCATGGAGAAGCCCTTCTCCTCTGTCACCGCCAAGGTAATGGCAGTGGCCTCCAGCTTCTTTGTGCTCATCTCCGTGGTGGCCCTGGCACTCAACACAGTGGAGGAGATGCAGCAGGTAGACCGGAAGAGCGGGGAGAGCCGGCCTGTCTTGGAGCACATTGAAACCCTGTGCATTGTGTTCTTCACACTCGAGTACCTGCTGCGCTTGGTCTCTACCCCAGACCTGCGCCGCTTTGCCAGCAGCGCCCTCAATGCTGTAGACCTCATTGCCATCCTGCCCCTCTACCTGCAGCTGCTGCTCGAATGTTTTGCTGATGACGACCAGCCCCGAGGTCGGGGCTCTCAGCACGAGCACGATATCGAGAAGGTGGGACGGGTGGGCAAGGTGGGACAAGTGCTTCGCATCATGCGCCTCATGCGCATCTTCCGCATCCTCAAGCTGGCCCGCCACTCCACAGGGCTGCGTGCCTTCGGCTTTACCTTGCGCCAGTGCTACCAGCAGGTGGGCTGCCTTTTTCTCTTTATTGCCATGGGCATCTTCGCCTTCTCTGCCATGGTCTACACAGTGGAGCATGATGTCTCCAGTACCAACTTCACCAGCATCCCCCATGCTTGGTGGTGGGCTGCCGTAAGTAAACACATCTCACCTTGCTGGCTAGCCAGAGACCCTCCCTCCCTTTCCCTCCCCTTCCTTGCTAGAGTCGCTGACAGTCTTGAAAACAGCAGGCTCAGATCAGTGAACATCTGCTCTGAATTCTGAGCTTACAGGACATATGCACTCACTGACGCACACACACACATGCACTCATTCACCTTTGTTGTAAGCTTAAATCAAGGCTTAATCAGGCAGACAGTGTTGAAATTCCTGTCTGACCAAATGCAGACAGTACTTGCACTTTTAAGGAAGAAGTGGGCAAAGAGACAGGAAAGAAAAGTATTTCCCCATTTAATCCCACTGTCAGTGTTGCCAAAAAAAAAAAGGAAAAAAAAAAAAAATAATCTTGCATCAGGCTAGCTGGTTGCAGGTGGACAGAGGATTTTCATTCTTGTTCTTTTTGCAGATCTGCTGTGACCCATCATACAACTGCAAGTTGATAAGACATAGTTTATTAACTATAATCTGGTCACTCAGACTTGCAAAGCCAAAGCTGTCCCAGAGCTTTGGCTGCTAAAAATGCATTAGGACCAACAGTTGTTTTACACAAAAGACTGTGTTCTGTTCCTTAGATGGCACGTCTAAGGCGCATGTCTGCACACACAAAAAACATTGGTGGTTATTTATACCGTGCCAGTCTCGCAGAGGAACAAATACAAAAAGAAGCAGAATAGCTCAAGGGGTTCATAAAGGGATAAACTGCCTTCTACATCTAGGTCACTGGTTTGAATCTCACATCAGTCAGTACTGAGAGCTGGTTAATGTCACCTTGAATCTTTTTTTGCAACCTCTGCCAGAAAGAGTGTGATTTTAGTCCCATCCCAAGCACTTGGAGTGAGGGTAACTGGCTGAGTTTCAGCTGACAAGCCTCAGAAATGAAGACAAAATGACCTCGTTTCTAGAGACTGCCACTGGGTTAGTGCTCTAAGGCATTTGGGCACGTCTGCTTGAGAGGTCTGAACTATCACTGACCTGTACTATACTGTGTAATGTGGAGGGGTGTTTTTGAGGCAGCACTTTCTGGGCTGTTGGGTTCACATCTTTCAGGGGCATGAAGATTTAGCCAGGAACACAGAACTGTGAGAGTTTAAAGTTCTCCACCTTGCCTAAATGCCTTCTGGCTCTGGCAATGTCCTGGCAGAACTGTTCTAGGGTCCCAAACTCTGAATTCATCTCTAAAGGGTTCGGGAAGCAGTTCAACTCCAGGCTTGGATTACATTAACACCCAAGGACGGACATACATTCACTTATAGAAGGCTAACCAATACTTCTCAAACTATTGTGAGATCAAAATGATAGTTATGTCCTTCAAGGTGAGCTGTGAAGACAAAAGAAACACTTCTGGGTTTATCAAGACTAGCAGACAATGGAGAGCGAGCTGCAGGCTGTAAGTAAATGCTTAACAGATAATATTCATGCACAAGTACAGCAGTTTCACAATTATCATTTTTAAAGCAATGTTTTGGCAGGGAAGTGGGTGGTTTTATCAAGGGCATTGGGGAGAGGGGGAAGTTGATCCCTGCCTGTGCTGCTGCCTGCAGCATTTCAGAGCTGGAAAGCAACAGCTCTGTTACGCTGCAGAAGATGTGCATATCTATAGCAGTCTGGATCAAATCAGAGGGTAGCTAGACATTGCAGGTGCTGAGGGAAGGCAAAGGGCCCATATCTTGGCTGTCCATAACTCTAAGGCTTGTTCTAGTCTGTCATCATGTACATTTCATTTTGCAGCAGCTGATGCTGGCCTCCATAATCCATGTTTATGGCAGGGCCCCAGGAGCTCTTCTGACTCCTGGGGCTGGCTGTGTCCCGGTCGCTTCCCTGGCAAAGGAAGCCCATGCAAATGGACTGGAAAGGAGTCAGAAGATCTTCTCATACTGGTTGATCAGCATAGGCACTGAATGCACTGAGCTGCGCATGGGGCCCACAGGACAGCAACCCCAACCCATCCAAAGTCGCTTCTCCTGGCCAGCAGCCCTGGGAGCCCATGGCCTGCACATCTGGTTCAGCAACGGCTGATGAGATGTGGTGGTTTCCCATACATAAGTTCATAGTGATTCAGTGCATGGCATAAAAACTGGGCTTACAGACACACATAGGCATTTATATATGTACATGCATATGTACACGTGCTGAATATCCCTTAAGCTGGGGCATGGAAAGGCAGGAAAAATCACTGAATAAAGGAAACGGTCCCGTAATGTGACCTTCACACGTCATCTTTAAGTGATATACACAGCTATGAACAAATTTGTTCTTCATATGTTACTAGTATCAGGACATTAACCTTATATTTTGTTTTCTGAACATGCAGGATATATACAAAATCTTTAGGGCTCATTTCTGCAAGCTGGTGGCACCGTAATCATTTAGATACTCCTAAGAATCCTATATGACTATGACTATGTGAAAAAGGCCTATTTAGCTGAGCAAGTGCCTCCAAAAGAGAAGCTGTAGCATGCACATTGCAATTCCAAGGCATAAAACTCTTTTTAAAGCCTATTCATTCTTTAAGAGTGAAAATTAAGATATCCAGATCACTCAAATTTCATTAAAATCCAGTAGCGTTCACGGTCTCACACACACAGGAGGAGAAGTATCCCCCCCAAACTGTTACAGGCAATGTGGAAGACTATGCCAGTGGAACAGAACCTTATCACAGGATAATGGTTTTGTCCTGGCTGGTAGAGATAAACATCTTGCCTTCATCTCAGTATTTATTTTTGGAGATATTTATCCTGTATTATCATTCAAATCCAGTGACTTAATTTCCATTAAACCAAGTGACTAATCCTTTTTATTCCACAGGAAGCACCAGGTGCATCCTACAAATGTGCTTACCCAGTGCTGTCTCATGTACCCTAATGCTTTATTCATTTGAAATAACATTTTATTTAGCATATTAAAGGATGGCAGGCTGCACACCATGACCTTCCAAAGACTTATTTCAGTGCTAAAGCCACAAGGGCATTACAGTGAAAGTCCTACTGCCTGTGGTTTATTTCTGCCAAAGTTTTAGATTACTGTTTTACAGATACACACAGTGTGTTGAGATACTGTGAAAAAAATTAAATAAAATTCATTGGCTGAAAAAGACCCCTTGCACAGACTAGGAAGTGCCAGATAGCAGAAGCTTGCAAGTTTTACCTGCCAGAGAAAAATAAGTTATATTTACGAAATGTAAAAATTATAAACAATCAAGATGTGTGCAGTGGAAGTATATAAATTAGGAGTTATTTTATGCTGACTGTTTGGGAGTATATCATTCATATGTAGCATCCCCGTAAGCAAACATCCATGAATTTTTGAAACAAAATTTTACAAAGAAAGTCTTGCAGTACTTGGTATAGTACCGGGTCCATATAAAACACAGTTCCTTCATACATCTATAGGCTAAAAAGAGAAAATGCTGATGGCTGAGAAGAAAAAAGTCTGTGAAACTATGTAGACTACATGATGGCAAAATGTGCAGGTTCATATAAAGCAGGCATACTAAATACCATCACTTCCACAAAAAAACATTTCAAACAACGCCCAAACCCTTCTTCAAAGGGGAATTCAGCAAAAATTTCCCACCTGTGTATCTGTCAGCTAAAACCAACAGGAATATTCCCTACTGAAGGCACACATACACCTTACTTTTGTAACCTCTGACATACAGCTGAGCAGGAAAATCAAACAATTTAGCACTATAAATACATGTGTTGCGAGCATACACTGTGAGCAAAAACTTCCAGGCAACAGAGAAAGATCTTTGTTTTTTCCACAGCTCCTTGTAGGTATATAACCATTAAAGGGGATTTTATCTAGAAACTTCGAAGTCCTGGGTCACTGCTTCCTATAGTGCAAACATTATAAAAATAGATTTCACAATTAGCTGAAGCTTTTCCTGTGTTTTTCATTAGTTCCTAAAATATATGTGACAAACAAAGGTAACACTCAAAATACAACCCATAGAATAAGTCCCAAAATACCAGGTTTTATAAGCACACCGGCTTTAAATACAGGGCATCTGTTCCAAGTGACACGATGAGGGAGCAGGGCTGCAGTTATCACTGGATTTGTGCGGTCAGGGAGTCGTCTCTATCTGCTCACCGCAGCCGAGCAAACCCACCTTCTGGACAGGCTGGTGTGGAAATTGTTTGGAAATTCCCTCTGCAGGACAAAGCTTTTAAAAATCCTCCTGAATGGTGTCAAATTGCACTCTTGTCTTTCTTTACCACATGAGAGGGATTTTTTTTTAATTAGGGATTTTTGCATAAGATGGACGGTACAGAAGAACAGGCAGCAGAGAGTATTCAGATTTATGATGCAAAGTGCAAAAGCGCAAACTTTAAAATTGTCCCTGATCTCTTAACATAGCTGTTTGTATGTTTCTTCTCAGCTAATAAGCTGAATGTTGGTTTGCCTGTAGGTCAGCATCTCTACAGTAGGATATGGAGACATGTGTCCAGAAACTCACCTCGGCCGCCTGTTTGCTTTCCTCTGCATTGCGTTTGGAATAATCCTGAATGGCATGCCCATCTCCATTCTCTACAACAAATTCTCAGACTATTACAGCAAGCTGAAGGCCTACGAGTACACAGCTCTCAAGAAAGAAAGGGGGAAGGTGGACTTCACACGGAGAGCCATGAAGAAAATATCTGAATGCTGTGCAGAAGGTGCAACCCACCCTTCGTCACAGCACTGATACAGTTTGTGCTTTGGATATTGGGAGGGAACAGAGAAGCTGAAGGAGAAAGAAGAAAAACAGATCAGCCAAACTAACTGAAGATAAACTGAAAAGGTCAAAAGTAACAAAAGTAGATGGTGAAATCTGTTTTGAAGGGGGTTGTTTTCAAAAGAAAAAAGGCTCAGATTACAGCAACAGATATTTTTTTTGGCTTTGCTAGGCTGTGAGCAGCACTTAAGTGCTCATCAACTATCTGGAATGACATTCTTCAGATTAACCACCCAGAAACTCTAAAATAGACCCGCATGAAGATGTAACCCCCTGCTACTGATTAGACCCACAATAAAGACCCACCATAATCAAACCAAAGGAAAACAAATTGCTGCCATTAAGGGTCAGCCACCTCACTGCTGTCAAGGCAGTCTCAAAAATTAAACAAATAGAATACCCAGTATACTGACTGCATTGCTGAAATTGGTTTTGCACCAGCTTTCAAAACCAGGAAAACAGCCTAGAGCATTTACCTGAATATTAGTAGCATCTATACTCCTTAAGCTTTCAGCTTCTGTTTCCACTGTCAGATAGCTATGCTTCACTGTTCCAATTTTGTTTTTCATATGCAGCCCTGCAAATGATTCCCATTTTCATACCTAGGCAAGCAACACACTGCTTTTAGTATTTCCCTTCTTTAGGTATAAGATTAAGTGATAAACTAAATTTATTTTACAGCATTTACTGTATCTACTTATTGAATTGTTAGAATAATAATAGGCCTGTCATGGGACGTAAGTGTTAAAGCAGCATTTAAAAAAAAAAATCAAATGAAACATGTAATGGATAATATCTCATAAAGACTTTTCATACAAAGGATCTTATCAGCACTTATCTGTAACCAATTTTAAATATAATTTAAAGTCAAGATACTTTGCTGGTACATACAGGCATTAGGGACACAATTCTGACACCTTAGCTCACCCCCAGTAGTACCTTACTTCCTAAGATTACTGAGCCTTCTTGCACAGCTGGATGCAGTTTCTCATGTGTCAGAAACTCACCCCAAAACCTACACAACAAATAACAACAACAACAATTAAATGGAATCAGTTTCATCTATTAGTTCACAGCATATCAGGAGTATTCTTTTTACGTAAAAGCAGTCATACCAGTTTAGAAATAGTAACCTGAATAACAGATCTGAAATAATAGTTAGTTTATTGATACTCAGATACAAATAATGTAAAAAAAAAAAAAAGGTAACAAAAAGAAGCAATGGTAACAGTCACTGATATGGCCTACAGCTGTTACTCAGCAGCAAAACAGCCTGATGGCAGAGATGCATTTTTAAATTCTTGAACTCTCACGTTGTGTCCTTGCTGCCCTGCTGAATGCAAATGGCTGCATTCAAATCCCAGAGCCATACTGGAGACAATGGTGTGAAGCTCACTCTTGGGACAGCTGAGGGTGAAAAAGTTCATTAATTTTGCCATGTCCATGCAAATTGTGTCAAGCGTAGGGACATTTCTCCTTTCAATGGTGAGAAGGTAATTAGTAACCAAGTTGCTCTTCTCATTCTTTACCTCCAGACAAATGTATCACAAGCCCATCTGTCATTTTGTTCTTTAGGAATGACAGTCAGCACATTGTGTGATGATCAGCTCTGTTAAAAGCTAAACCATGTCTTTAAGGCACAGCTGAGCCCTGGGAGTTGAATGTGATAATATGTTTGCTCTTCTGGACTGCACACAATGCAGCAGGCACAATCCTGCCACTCACTGAGAAGAATAGCAGCTTTACTTTTGCTCTAGGGATCATATGAATTTGCATGGCCCTTCTGCACAGCAACAACAGGATGAGTAGCTTCACTGAAACCACAGGAAGCCTCTCTCTTAGACCCCCACTGCAGTTCAGTGAGGTGGCAGGTTACAAGCATGCTAAAACACAACTGTGCTTTATTTTCAACATGCAGCTTGGGTTAGATCCATTAAAAGGACTTAAATGTTGGTGATTACCCAACTTACCAAGATATGGGACACCCTAAATTAATTTCCTTGTCTGAATGAATCAGGACTTGCATGTACCATGCAGATGGGATGCAGATGCTCAGCCTTGCATGGCAAGCTCAGCAGCTTCTTGCCACCTAGAGAAATCCAGAGCCTGAGCACTTACTCTGCTGAGGCTGGACTTCCTCATAGCCTCAGACTTGACACAAATCACCAGCCTCATTTTCCACCCTACTTGCCTCACATGCTGGACCCATTCAAGCAGATGTTCTTCAAGACATGTGAGGGAATAGGCTTTCCACACAAAACATGAGCAAGAGAAAAAGGACTGTTCTCTCTTTTAATCAGGAGTCAGAATTGAATGTCCTCGGTGAGTGCTTTCTTATCTGTCCAACAAGATTTTAATGCACAAGTCCCGTAGTACTGCTATAACCGTTCAAATACAGCTTGGAGTGGGTCTCTCCTACCTCCCTAGCTGAAGCTGTTCTGCTTTGCGCCGAGTAAATAATGACCCTCCAGGTGACAGTAAAAGAAAGACTGTACAGCTTGGTGTTTGCAGCACTCGGCTGGGTGGAAAGGTGTGGGTCACCGGCCCTGCTTCAATAAAGAGCTACGAAAGTACCCTGACCAAGCGGCAAAATCTTCCCAAATACTCACTCTGCTCTGGCCCAAGCAATCTTTGGTTGAAGGATTTAGCATGGAAGGACTCCAGAGTCAGTCCCTGCACACTGCAGCCACATGAAGGCAACCCTTACTTAGAGTACCATACAGGTTAATGGCCATGAGCCAAAACACTTCCCAACACGGAGGAAACCAATTTCTGTCCCCTCAGGAGAAGAAGACATTGTAACCAGCATCACCAGGTCCCATCTGGGTGCTCTGAACACTGGAGCCACCACACCTCAGGCAGCTCAGCTTACCTAGCAGCTGCCTCACTCTCTTCTTTCTCAATGCACTTTGCCCCCTCATCCCTCTGCCATCCAGTCCCACCATCTCACTGATGGCAGCTTTGGTACGTTTTTGATTCCTCTATGCACTGACTCAACACACAAATGTGACAGTTTGGGGGAACAGGGTTAGATTCTTGATTGGTTCATGACCTAGCTCATTTTAGAGAGCTCTGACTGATGCTAGAGCTGACACAAGGTACATGGTAGAAGCGTGCAGTCTGGAGGACAGACCTCTGGCAACTGCCACATGAAATATTAAGCAGAAGACTACACAAAGTTGCTGTTTTTCTGTTTTGTAATACCTGGCTCACCTGCCCTGCTGCATTCAGCAGCATTTTCCAGCAAGCTAGAAATTAGTGTTTGGGGTTTTTTTTCAATCAAAGACTCATAATTTTCTTCTCTGGATTACCTTATTCAGCTTTCTGCCTTGTGGCTTAACTAATCTTATTTTAGGGGTGACAAGCGTAAGTCTGTGCATTTAAATAGGAAAGAGTATGCCTAAAGTTGAGGTACCACTGTATCAGCCAGATGTTGCCCTGAATGCCGAAAGCTCTGTCAGTACCAGCATTTTCTGTGGATGGCTACTAGCAAGGTTCTCCCACAAGGTCCTGTCCCCCTGTGAGAGCCAGTCTGAGGCTCATACCATACAAAAAGGACATCCAGCCAGCTCAGAGGAAGGAAGGAGTTCATATTCCCACAAAACAAACCTCTGACAATCTGCAGAAGGCTGTGCAAACCTGTATCAGCTGGTTTTGAAATAGGATGCAGCATTTTTGCTATTTTTTTGTGGACATAATGGTTCCTTCTGAGAAGGACTCTCAGTTAAATTTATTCTGCCACATCCACTAAGACTTTCAGTGGCATCATCACTATCCCTAGATTACTCAAATGAAACAGTCAAATGGTACATATGATGACATCCAAAAATAATGGAGGAGAGCCATGATTGTCTTGGATACTTGAATGCCACAGGGCTTCAACAATCAGATTTCAAATTTAACCACATCAAGGGAAAATATACTTAAATACAAGAAAGATGGGCAATACTATTAAAGACAAAGTAGATAGGGCTTGTTTTATGAGATGTTAATTTGGCATAGCTAAGGTTTTGGGGAAACACGGTGGAGGATTCTCAAACCACTGAGAAATTAGAAACCTCTCTGAATGTGGCCATGCTAAAGTCTTCTGTTTTAACTAATTGCAGATATTAATGAGCCCCACAGGGAGAAGAAAAATATGTTCTGTCATTATGTTTCACTACAGACTTAGCAAACATGTTGTCTCTGGTAGACAAAGAAACAGTCACTTTATCTGGATGACCTGGCTTCATTTTAGGCCAACTACGTGTTGATTCTTCTACTCATTTTAGGCCTGGGAATTATTGAAAAAAAAAGAAAAAAAAGAAAGAAAAGAAAGAAAAAAGAGGAAAAGAGAAAAAAGAGGAAAAGAAAAAAGAAAAGAAAAAAGGAAAGTTTTTTAAAAAGGAAAAAAAATAGGGGTGGGGATCATAGAAATCTAAAGAGTCTGTCCCTACATGAGACAGTGGAAAGAATTCCAATTAGAATATGCTTTTGCACAAATCCTTGTCTTAGAAAAACATCACTTTTTCAATGCAATTCAGCAGCTGTTTGCTTTTCTCGTTCAGAAAGATAGCACTTAAAGGGGTAGCTACAGTAAACCACAGATTAGTAGGCATCTGGTGCTATTCCCAGGCTTCTAAGGCAAATAGTAAAATACAGTCTTTTAATATGTACAATTTTAAAGATTATAAACCAGGTATACTTCAAAGTTTTTGGAGAAAAATAGTTACTATCAATAAGCCTAGGAAGGAAAAATTGTCTCCTTGCTTAAAAAATAGCTTCAACTGTTTAGAACGTTCTGTTTTTATGTTATGTAAAAATATTTGATTCATGTTTATCTGCTATTTACAAAACCTTTATTAACTTCTTTATTCAGTAGTAGAGAAATTACATGGCATTTGACTGTAATCCAGCTCTTTATCTTGGATTGAAAAAGGGAAAGGTCAGAGGTACTAGCTTTTTATGTACTTAGGTAATTTAATGGAAAT